CCCTCACACCAAACAAGTTCTTCCCCACAGCTCAGCTCCATCTCCCCTCTTGCAGGGTCCAACCCTTCCCCCTCTTCCTAGGGCTTCCCTCCCTCATCCAGAGTCCCTCCCCAGCTTTCCTGGAGCCCCTTGAGGGACTGGAAGGGGCTCCAAGGTTCTCCCTGGAGCCTTCTCCAGGTTGGACACCCCCAACTCTCTCAGCCTGTCCTCCCAGCAGAGGGGCTCCAGCCCTCCCAGCATCTCTTCTGGCTCCACTCCAACAGGTCCATGTCCTTCTGCTGTTGGTGGCCCCAGAGCTGGAGGCAGCACTGCAGGAAGGATCTCCCCAGAGTGGAGGAGAGGGGCAGATTCCCCCCACCTTGCCCTGCTGGCCACGCTGCTGGGGTGGGATGCTGGGGCTTTCTGGGCTGCCAGTGCCCATTGCCAGCTCATGCCCAGCTTTTCATCAACCAACACTCCCAAGTCCTTCTCCTTTTATAGGGTTCAAGGCCCTGCAGAGGGGCAGATTCCCCCCACCTTGCCCTGCTGGCCATGCTGCTGGGGTGGGATGCTGGGGCTTTCTGGGCTGCTCATGCCCAGCTTTTCATCAACCAACACTCCCAAGTCCTTCTCCTTTTATAGCTGTGTTTCTACTGAAATAAGATTCTCATTGACAGTCTTTTGTTAGTCGCTGCTATATATTGCCATCCACCTCATAAACCCACGAATTCATCTAAAAAGCTGAACTTTGGCATTTTTGTTGAAGGCACAACATAGCTGGCAAGTGCCAGGGAACCACACAATCCTGGGAGAAAGCTTGGTATTTACACAGACAAATACCAATTTGTGGCTACACAGACTGTCACATCTGTGCAGTTTCACTGAATTTTTAGAGTTGGAAGGGACCACAGAGATCATCATTTCCCTACTGCTCCAGCAATACAAAACATACCATAGATACAGCTCTTTCTTCAAGTCCACCCATGCATAATTATTCTCTAGTTACTGCTATTCGCCTGGATTCAATGCACAAATTATTTTCCTCTTTCAGTCCCCTCATTAATAATGTAATATAAACTTTAAATATTAATCTAAATCTGAAAGTTATTAATATAAACCTTCTTAATATTTAGACTATGTAGAATCCCTGTATGTCCTCCTGACAAATCTTAATTGCAATACACATTGCCAGTCTGAATATTTTCTTTTCAGAGGTCATATGTTTGCAACATTTCCAAATCTCGACTGTAAATGAGAAAATTGCATTGCAAAAGAAAAGATAAACAGGAGTAGTATTAAATAGTTTAATTCATCTATTCAGTAATGTCTCATCCTGTAGGATTATCAATTTTTAATTGTAAGACATAATATCGGAGGACCTTAATGCCTTCAGTGTGACATAATCATCCTTTCCTTTTTTAATTTTTTTCCATAAATAAAGATGGTTTTAAAAATGTAAACTGGCTGCTTCTTAGCAAAAGCCATTATCACACTTTGTGATCAGATCTTTTGTCTTCAGTGCCTTCTCTTTAGGGTTGAACATACGTATATTGTGACCATGCTTCCATGGATGACGGTACAACCAATAATACTGGAAATATTGCAACAAATCTGACTTCAGTTTTCCATCTAAATCAACATTTTAATACAACTACCAACGTTCTGCCACGAGATGGCGCCTGTGCCTAAGAAAAACAGAATGTCTGTGTTTCACAGTCAGAAAAATATGTGAATAAAACTGCTAAAAACTAAAAGTCACCTCTAAGGACCCAGACACTCCACAGCACAGTATCTTAACATCAGTGCAAAGCAGCAAGAATTGTGGGCATTTCAGCAGGGTCTATACCACAGGAACAACTGCATTCAGCCTCTTCTTAGGAACTTGAAATTATTTTTTTACATTAATTGAATGGTAAAATTGTATTAAATTTTCTTAGGTTAAAAGCTCGGTTTTCTTAGCGGCAAACACCAATCAAGTGACTAAAAAGCCCATATATTTTACTGAAGAGTGCAGATAAGATAGATTACCTGATAAGATAGATTAAAAAAATTAAAAATTTTTAATATAACAAATAATGTTTTCTTCTCTAAGTAGGTAACTTTTGGGCCCACTAGTTATTTTTCCTCTCCTTGCTGTGACATTCAGAGTCTAGAACTAGTATCTAGTCTTGCTGTGGTCTCTGTTCCTCTCCCTCCTCACCTCTGCCACCCAGTCTGCCTTGTGCTGGGGCTTTCCCCAGCAGCTCTTCTTGGTAACCTTATAGAACCATAGAATTGTCCAGGCTGGAAGGGACCTCCAAAGGTCATCTAGTCCGACCCCCCCGCAGTCAGCAGGGACACCCCCAACTAGACCAGGTTGCCCGGGGCCTCGTCGAGCCTCTCCTTGAATATCTCCAGGGAAGGGGCCTCAACCACCTCCCTGGGCATCCTGTTCCAGTGCTCCACCACCCTCACAGTGAAGAACCCTCTCCTCATCTCCAATCTAAATCTGTTCCCCTCCAGCTTGAAGCCATTGCCCCTCGTCCTGTCACTGCAGGCCTTTCTAAACAGGTTCTCCCCAGCCTTCCTGTAGGCCCCTTCAGGTACTGGAAGGCTGCTATTAGGTCTCCCCAGGCCCTCCTCTTCTTCAGGCTGAACAACCCCAGCTCCCTCAGCCTGTCCTCGTAGCAGAGGTGCTCCACCCCCCTGATCATCCTTGTGGCCCTCCTCTGGACCCCTCTCCATCAGGTACTGGAAGAGCATGAGTAGCACTGAGCTCCATCCTCCACCCGCCAAGTCCATCCAGGTCCTTGAGTAAAAACAGTCCCACAAATGGGTTTGCCTTTGCATGAGGCAAGAATCATAGAACCATCCAGGTTGGAAGGGACCTTCCAGAGCATCGAGTCCAACCATCAACCCAACACTGACAAACCCATCACTAACCCATGTCCCTCAGCACCACGTCTGCCCGGCTTTTAAATCCCTGCAGGGATGGGGACTCCACCACTGCCCTGGGTAGCCCATTCCAAGCCTTGATAACCCTTTCAGTATATAATTTTTTTTCCTAATATCCATCCTAAACCTCCCCTGGTGCAACTTGAGGCCATTTCCTCTTGTCCCATCACCTGTTCCTTGGGAGAAGGAGACCGACCCCTACCTCACCACAACGCAAACAGTTTTCCCCAGCATATCCTTTTCATGCAAAACAGGGACTCCATCCCCTTCTACAGCATCTGGCTGAGCAGGACCATCTCAAAAAACCACTTTAACAGAAAAGCATATTTAAAATTTGCATTTTAACAAAAAATTATATAAACAATTCATGCAAAGAAAACATACTTGTGTTTTGCTCTACCAGGTGTCCACAGAAGCATCCTTCTTTTTCCAGGTCTCCCTGACTCCAGGGACTCCTGGCAGGAGGAGGCAATACGGGATTTCCCTTCATTTTAGGTATCAACCACCAGGTGTATATACAAAAACATTCATTTTTATATACAGAAACAATTCTTTTGTCAGAGAAGAAATTCTTCCCCTCTAAAGTTCACAGTCTGTAAACAAAACCTCCCACCAAAACAGGTTTCAGACCAAAACGTGGCCTTCTGTAGGCCAGAACAATGACAACAGCAGCGATTAGACTCCAAAATGTAGCTCTTTCTGGCTAAAGTAAATTAAAATCAAGCTGTAGCAGAATCCAAAGAGCCCTTGTTGGAAAGGGAGGAGCAACAGAATGTCGACTAAGACAGCTCTCAATCCTTAGGGAAGGATGAATATCTGACTACTTTTCTTCTTTTCAAACAGCAAATGCCAGCCGTGGGCTGACTAGTGCTGAAAATCCAATTTCTGATCAAGCACCAAAGCTGTCGTTTGCTTTTCATTCCACCAAATATTGTCTCTGAAATGAAAGGTTTCCCTCAGTGAGGTTTAG